GCCTGCTGCCCACGTGGCCGGCAGGTCAAAGTGCTCTGAGAAAGATGAGACCACTTGTCCCCTTATAGGTGGCTAGTTTCGGAGGTCCTAAGGAGCAGTTGTTCTACGCTGTCCTGGAAGGGCTCTGAGTCTGAACCGACTCACCTCATCTTTGTGGGGGAGCAGGTGGCCCTGGTGGTGTAGTGATTCCTCGTTAGCCTGCTGACCTCAAGGTCGGCATTTCAAAACCACCACCCGCTCCATGGAGGGAAATATGAGGCTTTCTATTCCCATAAAGAGTCGCCTTCTCAGGAAACCCACAGGGCAGTTCTACTCTGTCCTGTAGGGTCTCAACGAGTCAGAATCCACCCAGTGGCGGTGAATTGGGATTTTGGTTCATCTTTATGGGAACAGATGACCTGCCGACCAACCAACTAGCCACTGAGCTACCGTTTGTTAAAAGTTTAGGAGGTGTTGCAGGCTGATGCGGTGGCCTGGCAAGGCCTGAGCAATGGCCCTGTGTTTCTCCCTGGCCTCCCTTCCCCAAATCACCCGTACAGCGAGCACAGCCGCCACTGGTTCTTCAAGGGCCGGCTCCACGTGGACGGGCAGGAGCTGGCTCACTCGCTGTTCGAGTCGATCATGAGCACCCAGGCGTCTTCCAACCCCAACAACGTCCTCAAGTTCTGTGACAACAGCAGGTGGGCTCTGCACCCGGTTGGGGTGATCTCCAGCCTGAGAGAGGGGCGGCCCCTGGTGCTGGTTGAGGTGGTAGCAGATCCCAGGCAGGAAGGGCGGTCCAGCATGGATATGTCCACAGTGCAATCCAGGGAAAGGAAGTCCGATTCCTGCGGCCGGAGGACCCTGCCCAGCCAAGCTGCTTCCAGGAACATTGGGGGCTGAGACACGTCGTCTTCACAGCAGAGACCCACAACTTCCCCACAGGTGATCTGGGTCCCTGGGAGAGGTAGGAACGACCACAAAAGAGGCTGGCTGTCCTTAGGTCCCATGGGAGTGCTCCAGGATGGGGCGCATCTCTTTGGTGCCCACACATCTCTCCCCTCTCTCTTCCCAGGAGTTGCCCCCTTCAGCGGTGCCACCACGGGAACTGGGGGCCGGATCCGTGATGTTCAGTGCACAGGCCGGGGGGCCCACGTGGTGGCCGGCACTGCTGGCTATTGTTTTGGAAACCTGCACATCCCAGGTGTGTGTGTGTGTGTTTTCTCTCCCCATCTCCCCTTCCAGGTTCCTTGGCAGGTGCCAACACCTTGATCTTGGGGGTCAAAGAGCCATCTGGGTGCCCTTCCTTGGGAGCCGGGGCTCTAGAGTAACAGGCCTGTCCTGTGCCATGACCACAAGGAGTGTAGACCAGGGGAGGCCAAAGATGCCCTCCTGGCAGTGCCGAGCTACCATTTTCTCAATAAAGAAACACCCACTTGCCAAGAAAGCATGGTACTAAGTTGCTTTTATGACCGTCACCAGCCTCCTAAATCCACTTTCTTAGGACCTATGTGTGGAATTCAGGCTCGTGTGCCTGTGAACCCTGATGGCATAGTGGTTACATGTTGCGCTGGTAACCACAGGTCAGCAGTTCGACACCACCAGCAGATCCACGGGAAACAGATGAGGCTTTCTCGTCTTTCCTAGAGATGGATGGTCCTGGAAACCTGCAGGACAGTTCTACTCTGGCCCACAGGGTCGCTGCGAGTGGGAATCAACTAGAAGGCTTGGGCTTATTTTTGGTGTAGGACATTTTTCGGACTCTGCCTCTTACTGAGAAGACTAGGTGGGAGGGGAGGAGCTC